TTTACTTTTGGCAGCAATAAAGGGCCCTTTCAGCTTTGAAATAAAACGCTAATCGTAAGATTAGCAGTTTCCTTATAAGGAAATATTCAGCATACCCTGAACGACTAGCTTCTACAACTGTCGGTTGAAATTTATAAAATCTTTCTCTTTTAGGAAAATAGGTTTCTCAAGTCCAGTATCTGTTATCGCTCTTTCCAGTATTGATGGGGGTTTCCTTCCTACCCTTTTGTTTGAAGTAGTGTGGAATGTCAATATTTTGATTATGCCATTATTTTCATCTTATTTTTGTATCATTTTTAGCTGTCGTTGCTGTTGAAAGTCCTCAAGTGATGCGGTTTCTGTTATTTAGTATAGTTTTTTGTCTGTGAAAGAACCCCTCCACCTCCAAAGATTTTAATCTTTTCTTTAAGGACAGGCAAAATAAATCGGTTAAGGCTTTTCTTACTTAATCTTTTTTTATACTTTCTTTATACCAGACAATGTATCATATTCATATAACATCTGTTATTCTCTTTTCATTAACCCTTTTAACGCTGCATTCCTGAACAATTTTAACACTTCTGCCTGAGCTCCTGAATCAAAATAATTGGTATGTGATGTTTCACGGTAGATATAAAAATAGTTACAATAAATATAAGCATTATATTTAGCAGGGAGAGAGTATGGTTGCATGCCTTCACTTTATCGCCAGAATTCTTTCTTTGTGTCCCAATCTACTCAAACAAGACAACCAATAGCAAAACACGACGCAAGTGTTTACCCAACGTTCAACCGATGGCTGGGCATTAAGTCATTTTTCTCTACCACCGGTAAAGCGGTGATCAAGGCTCAAAGTGTTAAGCAGCTAAGGTAACACATCTTTGATACAGCCCAATTCTTTTTTATGTGCCATATCTATTCAGGATATACGCTCTCCACAACTTCCTGTTCATGAAAGTATTTATAGAAACATTCTTAATTTAAGATATATAAAGATTTACACGCGCCTCGAAAAGATATGAGGCTAAAAGAGAAACAAGATGTAAATTTATTGAGTGATGAGTTTACAACTTTGAGAATTACGTAAAATTGAACAGAGATGATAAAATCGTATGGCTCAAAAAGGCGACAATAACTTTAGAAAAATTGAAACTTTCGCAACAAACATAAGATGGGTGACCAGCATGAAAAGTTCCGTTAACAACTGTTGCGAATTTAAACAGAGAGAAAAGATGTAAATATTTAGATATTATCAAAATACGTGAAAACTGATTTCTCGTGACTAATTTTTTAGTGATGAAGATAGAGCTATATTGTACGGACTTGATGACTAGTCTATAGCGTAGAGCCATCATGAAAATAATCAGCCTACACGACTTATAAGATAACCTGCGTTAAGTGGTGCCATGTCGTGGGATAGTATTATTAGCAGTAATTTACACCCTTGTGCAAATTAATTGAAACAAAACGAATTATTCCGTTATTATTTACTTTTTATCTCGTATTATTCCAATGAAACACAGTGTACATGTTATTACTTCGTATGCCCATTCCACGAAGTCGTTCCTTACAGGTTGGCGACAGATTTTCGATTGGATTTAAACCAGAAGAGCTTCTGGGCCAATTTATAGCACTTTCTAAGGCTTGCCGGTGTGTTCGTGCAGTGTTACAATTTTCGTACGCTTCCTTGAAGTAACGTCCATCGCAGACAATGGCCGAAGGACAACTAATCGACTGTTGAGACAATAGTGTCTAGGCGTGATAATAATCTGATGCAATCACGGATGACGCAATTTTCTTCGAAATCAAACAAATTTCATCATATACCCCGAAAATAGATTCAAATTACTGCACACCACTTAAAATAGCCTAATCAGAGGGAAAAATAGAAATCGATTACGCCCTGTCACTGCAGTGGATCTAAAACTGATCTCATGTTGAAAGAAAGAAAACTAAAGAAATTGTTTTAATTAATTTACACAAAGATATAGGCGCTCCACAACTGTTTATTCTGGGTCGCTCTAAGCAATTTACTATGTCTCCTCTTCCCCCTTTTGCTTTTCAAATTTAAACAAGCTCGTTAAGCAAGTTTTCATTTTAAATACTTTTCTTCACTGACTTTTACCGACCACAAAATCCAAGTTAAATTTTAAACTGTAATCATAAAACTGACATATTTTGAGAAGTTTGCTGGTGTGTGTGGGGAGGTATGTGTGTTGGATTGTGTATGCGTGCATGTGTGTGCGATTGTGTGTGTTTCACTCTTATTACTTGACTGGCCGTTTTCTTAAATAGCGCGGTCTTTCCTATTCTTTCCTAGTTTTCAAAAGTCATAAAGTAAATATGAAAGGTCGATTTCGAATGGGGTTATTATAGGTAGGAAGTTAAACACCCCAGCTTTGTTTCAGTACCATGTGCTTGTAAAATATCTGATACCCTGAAACTCTTAGTGAGAATCATCATCTCCGATGATGTTGTACAAGCACGTTAATTTCAATCGGAGAGAAAGAGACAGTAAAAAAAAAAACTAAAGCTTAATGTAATCATCAACGTTTCTTTGACCGAAGTGGTTAAGGCGACATCCATGGAAGATTAGCATCTGAGGTGCAATATGCGAGTTTAAGTTGCTTCTTTATTTAGGTTGTTACACTGTCCACCATAGTGATCGAAGTGCCTATCGACCCAAAGTGCTGCGACAAAAGGCAATAACAAAATTAACATTTTTATTTCGGATCTGAAGACCGCCTGTAATTCTATTAGCCACAGTCATTTGCATATGGTTTGTCTGCTGATATATCTTCGACGTTGATAGAAGAAATGATTACTTCAGGAATAATGGTCATTAGGCACTTATTTATTCAATCAATAGCTACATTACGCTGTTGCTGTTACAGAATAGGTATGTTGGCCCAGAATAGCAAACTACTGGTTGGAAGACCCCGTGTGCGTGAAATTCTGACAGTGATGGATTGCCTCTTTTGAGTTTTTTTTTTAATATAAGACAAACAAAATAACGTGGCCACGGAGATGACAGCAAGGATTTGAAGAGTTACAAATTCCTTAGTGACGTAAGCGATCACGTGGCGATGTCTTTTTAACATCTCCCTTCTCGTTTCCTCCCCTAGATACAACTACTTTGTCCTTCATTTAATAAAACATAAAATCTGATAAAACGATAATTGCCCGTCGTTGACCTCGTCTATGGTGCAGGGTTGGAGTCTCAAGAATTGAAACCAAATATGACAGAAAATGCGACACGACTTCTATTAGCAATTATAATCAAAAGAAAGGATAATACAATTTAATCCTTTCCAAATTTTGCAATAGATGTGCCCTTCAAAACATTAGATGTTCTCCCTCTAAAGAACTCATGTTGGACTCTTCCGACTACTATAAGATTAGTAGGAGAGAAGGCCTTGGGGAACAGTCGAGTAGATTGAACGCTGATCAACCGGCACCTACTCACTAGTCGTGTAATACTCTTTTGCTGTACTTAATGTTTAATGTATGATATATCGCAACTCTAGTTTTTGTTATTTCCAAACCATTTACTTGGTCACAACATCTTAAACCAGGGTTGCAGATATATCATATATTAAACAGTAAATACAGCAGAAGAGTATTACACGACTAGAGAGTGGGTGTTGGTTGACCAGCGTTCAATCTATTCGACTGCACCCCAAGGCCTTCTTTACTGCTAATCTTATATTAGGCGGAAGAGTCCAACATAGAATCTTTAGAGAGAGGACACCACAACAATCCACTTATATTATTAAGTAGTATTTTGTCTTCTTATTTTGTAGATCTTGAGATTTCATCTGAATCGTATATAAAGGAATCATAGAGAAACAAGGGGCAGAAAGTTCTCTGTTATTTGATGATTTCTTTTTTTTCGAATGGTTTTCATCCTGTATAAGACCCAAGAGCCACTCGAGGTAGAGGGTTACAGAGTATTGATGTGAATATGTGGGGAAGATTACCGTTAACCCTAGATTTCAATAGGGTTAAGATTGTAGTGATCGAGAAAGCATCCTCTTGGCAGTCGCTTCCACAAAGTAGCGGTTCGAGTGGAATAGGAAAGGAATAAGGGTGGTTCGCATCCAGTCTGTGAGAGAGAATGAGGTCAAGGGGGAAAAATTCATCATCCAAAAGGACGCGGAGACGCTTTAGGACTCTTTCCATTCTGATAATTGAGGACTGGAGAGCTCTTGTCCATATATGGTTGTAGTACTCCATTTTCAAGGACGTGCGATGGAGTAATTGATAGCGGTTCGAATTGCGGAATCGGATAACAGAGTCAGAATTCCAGGCAGATCTATTACATTCTATCTATACATTCACTTACGTGCTAATACCTTTGGGAAAGGTATGGATCCTATTCTGCTTCAGCTATGGTTAAAAAAGCAGGACAGACTGGGTTCTATTGCAAAAGGTTCTAGAAGGAAAAATGCAGCACAGACTGGGTTCTATAGGAAAAGGTTCTAGGAGAAGGAAAAAGGCAGGACAGACTGGGTTCTATAGGAAAAGGTCCTAGGAGAAGGAAAAAGGCAGGACAGGCTGGGTTCTATAAGAAAAGGTTCTAGGAGAAGGAAAACGGCAGGACAGACTGGGTTCTATAGGAAAAGGTTCTAGGAGAAGGAAAAAGGCAGGACAGGCTGGGTTCCATAGGAAAAGGTTCTAGGAGAAGGAAAAAGGCAGGACAGACTGGGTTCTATAGGAAAAGGTTCCAGGAGAAGAAAAAAGGGAGGACCGACTGGGTTCTATAGGAAAAGGTTCTAGGAGAAGGAAAAACGCAGGACAGACTGGGTTCTATATCAAAAGGTTTTAGGCGAAGGAAAAAGGCAGGACAGACTGGGTTCTATAGGAAAAGGTTCTAGGAGATGGAAAAGGGCAGGACAGACTGGGTTCTATAGGAAAAGGTTCTAGGAGAAGGAAAAAAGGCAGGACAGACTGGGTTCTATAGGAAAAGGTTCTAGGAGAAGGAAAAAGGCAGGACAGACTGGGTTCTATAGGAAAAGGTTCTAGGAGAAAAAAAGCAGGAGGACAGACTTGGTTCTATAGGAAAAGGTTCTAGGAGAAGGAAAAAAGCAGGACAGACTGGGTTCTATGAAAAAAGGTTCTAGGAGAAGGAAAAAGGCAACAGACTGGGTTTTAGGAAAAGGTTCTAGGAGAAGGAAAAAGGCAGGATAGACTGGTTCTGGGGAAAAGGTTCTAGGAGAAAAGGAAAAAAAGGCAGGACAGACTGGGTTCTATAGGAAAAGGTTCTAGGAGAAGGAAAAAAGGCAGGACAGACTGGGTTCTATAGGAAAAGGTTCTAGGAGAAGGAAAAATGCAGGACAGGCTGGGTTCTATAGCAAAAGGTTCTAGGAGAAGGAAAAAGGCAGGACAGACTGGGTTCTATAGGAAAAATGCAGCACAGACTGGTTCTATAGGAAAAGGTTCTAGGAGAAGGAAAAAGGCAGCACAGACTGGGTTCTATAGGAAAATGTTCTAGGAGAAGGAAAAAAGCAGGAGAGACAGACTGGGTTCTATAGGAAAAGGTTCTAGGAGAAGGAAAAAAGCTGGACAGACTGGGTTCTATTGCAAAAGGTTCTAGGAGAAGGAAAAAGGCAGCACAGACTGGGTTCTATAGGAAAAGGTTCTAGGAGAAGGAAAAAGGCAGGATAGACTGGTTCTATAGGAAAAGGTTCTAGGAGAAAGAAAAAGGCAGGACAGACTAGGTTCTATAGGAAAAGGTTCTAGGAGAAGGAAAAAGGCAGGACAGACTGGGTTCTATAGGAAATGGTTCTAGGAGAAGGAAAAAGGCAGGACAGACTGGGTTCTATAGGAAAAGGTTCTAGGAGAAGGAAAAAGGCAGGACAGGCTGGGTTCTATAGCAAAAGGTTCTAGGAGAAGGAAAAAGGCAGCACAGGCTGGGTTCTATAGGAAAAGGTTCTAGGAAAAGGAAAAAAGCTGTACAGACTGGGTTTTATTGCAAAAGGTTCTAGGAGAAGGAAAAAGGCAGGACAGACTGGGTTCTATAGGAAAAGGTTCTAGGAGAAAAAAAAGGACAGACTGGGTGCTAAAAAAGGTTCTAGGAGGAGAAAAACAGACTGGGTTCTATAGGAAAATGTTCTAGGAAAAGGAAAAAAGCAAGACTGGGTTCTATAGGAAAAGGGGAAAAAAAGCTGGACAGACTGGGTTCTATAGCAAAAGGTTCTAGGAGAAGGAAAAAAAGCAGCACAGACTGGGTTCTATAGGAAAAGGTTCTAGGAGAAGGAAAAAAGGCAGGACAGACTTGGTCTATAGGAAAAGGTTCTAGGAGAAGGAAAGAGGTTCTATAGGAAAAGGAGAAAAAAGGCAGGACAGACTGGGTTCTATAGGAAAAGGTTCTAGGAGAAGGAAAAAGGCAGGACAGACTGGGTCCTATAGGAAAAGGTTCTAGGAGAAGGAAAAAAGGCAGGACAGACTGGGTCCTATAGGAAAAGGTTCTAGGAGAAGGAAAAAAGGCAGGACAGGCTGGGTCCTATAGGAAAAGGTTCTAGGAGAAGGAAAAAAAAAGGCAGGACAGGCTGGGTCCTATAGGAAAAGGTTCTAGGAGAAAAAAAAGGCAGGACAGACTGGGTTCTATAGGAAAAGGTTCTAGGAGAAGGAAAAAAGGCAGGACAGACTGGGTTCTATAGGAAAAGGTTCTAGGAGAAAAAAGGCAGGACAGACTGGGTTCTATAGGAAAAGGTTCTAGGAGAAGGAAAAAAGGCAGGACAGACTGGGTTCTATAGGAAAAAGGTTCTAGGAGAAGGAAAAAGGCAGGACAGACTGCGTTCTATAGGAAAAGGTTCTAGGAGAAGGAAAAAAGGCAGGACAGACAAAGGGTTCTAGGAGAAAAAAAAGGCAGGACAGGCTGGGTTCTAGGAAAAGAAAAAAAGGCAGGACAGGGTTCTAGCAAAAGGTTCTAGGAGATAGCACAAATGGGTTCTATAGCAAAAGGTTCTAGGAGAAGGAAAAATACAGCACAGACTGGTTCTATAGGAAAAGGTTCTAGGAGAAGGAAAATGTTCTAGGAGAAGGAAAAAAAGGCAGGACAGACTGGGTTCTATAGGAAAAAGGTTCTAGGAGAAGGAAAAAAGGCAGGACAGGCTGGGTTCTATAGGAAAAGGTTCTAGGAGAAGGAAAAAGGCAGGACAGACTGGGTTCTATAGGAAAAGGTTCTAGGAGAAGGGAAAAAAGGCAGGACAGGCTGGGTTCTATAGGAAAAGGTTCTAGGAGAAAGGAAAACTGGGTTCTATAGGAAAAGGTTCTAGGAGAAGGAAAAAGGCAGGACAGACTGGGTTCTATAGGAAAAGGTTCTAGGAGAAGGAAAAAGGCAGGACAGACTGGGTTCTATAGGAAAAGGTTCTAGGAGAAGGAAAAAGGCAGGACAGGCTGGGTTCTATAGGAAAAGGTTCTAGGAGAAGGAAAAATTCAGCACAGACTGGTTCTATAGGAAAAGGTTCTAGAAGGAAAAATGCAGCACAGACTGGGTTCTATAGGAAAATGTTCTAGGAGAAGGAAAAAGGCAGGACAGGCTGGGTTCTATAGGAAAAGGTTCTAGGAGAAGGAAAAAGGCAGGACAGACTGGGTTCTATAGGAAAAGGTTCTAGGAGAAGGAAAAAGGCAGGACAGACTGGGTTCTATAGGAAAAGGTTCTAGGAGAAGGAAAACGGCAGGACAGACTGGGTTCTATAGGAAAAGGTTCTAGGAGAAGGAAAAAGGCAGGACAGGCTGGGTTCTATAGGAAAAGGTTCTAGGAGAAGGAAAAAGGCAGGACAGACTGGGTTCTATAGGAAAATGTTCTAGGAAAAGGAAAAAAGGCAGGACAGGAAAAGGTTCTAGGAGAAGAAAACGACAGGACAGACTGGGTTCTATAGGAAAAGGTTCTAGGAGAAGGAAAAAGGCAGCACAGACTGGGTTCTATAGGAAAATGTTCTAGGAGAAGGAAAAAAGCAGGAGAGACAGACTGGGTTCTATAGGAAAAGGTTCTAGGAAAAGGAAAAAAGCTGTACAGAGTGGGTTTTATTGCAAAAGGTTCTAGGAGAAGGAAAAATGCAGCACAGACTGGGTTCTATAGGAAAAGGTTCTAGGAGAAGGAAAGAGGCAGGACAGACTGGGTTCTATAGGAAAAGGTTCTAGGAGAAGAAAAAAGGGAGGACAAACTGGGTTCTATAGGAAAATGTTCTAGGAGAAGGAAAAACGCAGGACAGACTGGGTTCTATATATAGGAAGACTGGGTTCTATAGGAAAAGGTTCTAGGAGATGGAAAAGGGCAGGACAGACTTGGTTCTATAGGAAAAGGTTCTAGGAGAAGGAAAAATGCAGCACAGACTGGTTCTATAGGAAAAGGTTCTAGGAGAAGGAAAAAGGCAGCACAGACTGGGTTCTATAGGAAAATGTTCTAGGAGAAGGAAAAATCAGGAGAGACAGACTGGTTTCTATAGGAAAATGTTCTAGGAGAAGGAAAAAAGCTGGACAGACTGGGTTCTATCGCAAAAGGTTCTAGGAGAAGGAAAAAGGCAGCACAGACTGGGTTCTATAGGAAAAGGTTCTAGGAGAAGGAAAAAGGCAGGATAGACTGGTTCTATAGCAAAAGGTTCTAGGAGAAGGAAAAAATCAGGACAGACTGGGTTATATAGCAAAAGGTTCTAGGAGAAGGAAAAAAGCAGGACAGACTGGGTTCTATAGCTTGGTTCTAGGATAGAAAAAAAAAGGGACTTGGTTCTATAGGAAAAGGTTCTAGAAGGAAAAAGGCAGGACAGACTGGGTTCCATAGGAAAAGGTTCTAGGAGAAGGAAAAAATTAGGAGAGACTGGGTTCTATAGGAAAAGGTTCTAGGAGAAGGAAAAAAAGCAGGACAGACTGGGTTCTATAGCAAAAGTTTCTAGGACATGGAAAAAAGCAGGACACACTGGGTTCTATAGCAAAAGGTTCTAGGAGAAAGAAAAAAGTAGGAGAGACTGGGTTCTATAGCAAAAGGTTCTAGGAGAAGGAAAAAGGCAGGACAAAAAAAAATGGCCTAGATTGAGATCTGTCAGATTATCTTGCCCAAGAAACATCACTGCATACACATGGTGCCCCTACGACCCTACGGGTCTCGGGATAAAAATCTGGCTGTTGTAAAAGTAGAGGATAGGAGTCAAATACTTAATGGAGAGATATAAGGAACCGACCAGTTCTCCAGCATCTTTAGATCGGTATGTAGAAAGATAAACTTGAGGTCTGGATTGAGTTTAAGTTCCAGTAGACACTCAAAGCATGGGCTGTCCCTGATAGACCATCCGTTCATCGCCATTGGTGATATTGTTGCTTCGATTGTTTCACTTCGAGATTTCTCAGAATTTATGTAATCATCTTGTTCTTATTTAACCCTGTTCAAGGTGTCTATTGCTAGCCCCGTTTCCGCCGGGATCAAGTCTACACTAACCAGCCTCAGGCATTGAACACCCAATTACTATGTCGCCAATTTTTTCGAAAGAACGCTTTAATCTAGTAGGTCATTTTCCCGTGGGAAACGGCAAGAAATAAACTGAACATTAATAAAAACTGAACATTAATAAAAATACAACAGGAGGAATAGACATGGACAACGGAACCAAATTTAACCAAGTTTATTAAATAAAGGGTTTATTTCAAAATTCTCTGAATGGTACTAGGATCAACATCTACCTGAAAAGGCTGAGAGTAAAACGGCCGAAACATTGGGATAATAACAAAAAAAATGAGGACATTGGTCCACATGCAATTATCGTTCTTAATCGTGACCTTTATCCATGTTGATGTAGAATATTTATCATCTGGAAAATATCTATCTCCATGGAGACCTAATGTTGTCTTCTATTTTATTTTAGTAATGCTATCATTTGAATGATAGCATTACTAAAATATATTCAGCACATAATGATGATGAAAACATTTAATTTATGAACAAATATTAATGAAAACCGTCAAGACCAGAATTTGAAACACAGATAAAATCTATTATATTCAGTTATGTGCCTTGCGGGATACACGCTTAGGCGATCATGTATTTTTCGATACCTGACTGACGTGGCAATTTTTTTCCCCGCAGTAAGTTGCCAGTTCTTTCTGCGGTAGACCAGTTGCCATCCAGTTGCTATAGAACCCGATCTGTCTTGTTATTTACCCATAGCTGGGGGGAGAAGAAGAGGGTGATTCATACCTTTCCCAAATGTTACAAGTCTTATAATTATTATAAAAAAAAATTAGAAGAAAGTTTTAGGTGGAATAATCAATGGTTAGTCTAACAGAATTGGTTAACAGATGAAACTTTCTGGGTGTTTGTATTTGTATGCTTAGAACTGTAAAAAGAGAATGAATTTAACCAAATTCTATTACCAGATACTAACAGAAGTGGTAAATGAATATTTAAGCAAACTGCTCTCCCTAAGCTACCTTGCTGACAAGGGAGAAATAAACAACCATTACACTTACTCCTAAAAATGATAAAGACATAAGCATGTGTAATTTTTTTTAAAAATCATTTCACCCCAAGTACGTTGATAATGCCAACAAAGATGTAAGGAGTTACTGGGAGTGAAAAAGAATGAAGATTTTATTGAGGAAAAATAAAAATAAAAAGAACAAGATTCAGGATGACAGATGATGGTAATTGATATTGCATTTAACAGTGAGAACTAGTTGCCAATTTAGTAGTAAGCTTAAATTCATGCAGTTAAGGTAGCAAAAAAGGAGAGCTCATCAGATAAAGTCGTAAGCATGTGTATTTTTTAAAAAAAATCCTTTCACCCCAAGCAAGGTGATAATACTAACAAAGACGTTCTTGCTTTGTTTTCAATTCGCTTATTAAATGACCGATATTTACACCTGTGACATTACAAGAGACATTCTGACTTTTCTGCTATAACGTCTTATCTTCGTAATTATGTTAGTTCTAATTATGGCTAATTAACCTCACGTGAGTTAAATATGACCTCTGTGTAATTTCAGGTTTATAGGCATAAAGTCAAGGAGTGAGTGTTACTGGCTTTTGAAATAAATGCAATTACGTGACTTAATTTAGAATTTTATATATCAAATATTTCGAACTAATTTCCTCGACATTGTTGCTTTTATCTCAACCTTATATTTGCTTCATCGTTCAACATTTTATTTTAATTCAGAGGTTTCTTACTATTATATATGGATTTATTCAGACCCGTGTTTTCGTATTTGTTTCAGTTACTATCTCATCTTTCTCAAGTGATTATCAAATTCGATAATATTCCAGGACTATTGGTTTGATCCGCTGGACGTTGAATATGGTAATTCCTTTATTTTTGATGTCTTTCCGAGGATATTTCAGAACTGGTTACCTTAAGTCATCTTTGTGATGCTGTTTAGATATATATGATAAATAAAGCAATCCTATAATTAGAAAGTAACAGACATTGAAAGCCTGAACAATAACTACAGAATATGAACTGTTTGATAAAAGATCTGGTAAAACTACATTATTTACATTATTCAGATTATTGTCCTCATCTTTGTCGCCATGTTTATCACAACGCTTCGGCCATTGTTCAAATGTCGAACTGAACCCTTTATTTCGCTCAAGGACACATGGCACAGTTGATAAAGGCGTTAGTTAGAGCCAGTGACAGGACCCAAAAAGTGTGAGTTCAATACCTGGTTAAGGCAGTGGAAAACTTTTAGAGGGGAATTAACAGGAGATAACTGACATCCATTAGATATGGCACGTGGAACTAGAACAGTCTACCCCAGTGAGCGAAATAAAGGGTGCAGTTCGACATTCCAACCACCTGAAGAAGGCCGGAGCGTACAACGACCGAAACGTTGTGATAAATATGGCCACAAAGATGAGGACAATAGTCCGAATAATGTAAATAGTGTACATAATACCTCATCTCAGAAATATAGATAGATACTGGTAAAACTAGTCTCATATTCTACCAGGTCTTTTATCAAGTAGTTTTTATTTTGTAGGACACTCAAAGATTGTTTAGGCTTTCAATGTCTAACCCCTTTCTAATTATCCATGTTATGTGCGACGGATCAAAAAGGTATGTCCTCCGCGTAGAGAGTTGGTTTCCTCGTCGCCACTGTTATGCTGTGGCAACCGAAATTTTTTTTTTTTCTTCCACCGAATGAGTTCGAATCGCTCGTCGCCACTGTTATGGTCCGGTTCCTTGTACCACGGTGATAGTCCAAGGTAGAACCAATAAAGAAGAACTCGAACACGTATATGGAATAACACAGATATATTACAAACAGGAATATATACAGAGAAGAAGAAAGTGTTAGTACGAACATTCAGGTTTAGTAGTAATTCTCTGAACGCGACTCTGTTTCGGACTGCCTCTGACTCAACTGACTGACTCGCTCGCTCTGACTGACTGACAGACACCTGACGGACTTCACTCCAGACTTCAGACTGAACGATATCTAGTCACCCCTCCACGAGGGCATCCTCACAAGGCCGGTTTAAGGGCCCGTGGGCTCGGCCAAAAATATGCCCTTTGAACCCGTATAAACCGGTTCAGGGTCGGTTTATCTCCCCGAAAGAGAATCTGCCCTCCGGCGTAGGATCTCGAAGGTAGAGAGTTCCGGGTCGCCCGACTTGGACTGAACGATATCTAGTCACCCCCACACACACGAGGGCATCAAAAGGCCGGTTTAACGTGGGATCTCCGAGCCGTGGGCTCGGCCAAAAAAACCCTTTGAACCCGTATAAACCGGTTCAGGGTCGGTTTATCTCCCCGAAAGAGAATCTGCCCTCCGGCGTAGCCTCGTTCGGGTTCCTCCCCGCCCGAAGGTAGAGAGTTCGATCAGCGGGTCGCCCGACTTCGGACTGAACGATATCTAGTCACCCCCCCCCACACACACACGAGGGCATCATGTGGCACAAGGCCGGTTTAACGTGGGCTCGGCCAAAAATATGCCCTTTGAACCCGTATAAACGGGTTCAGGTTCGGTTTACCTCCCCAAAAGAGACTCTGCCCTTCGGCGTAGCCTCGTTCGGGTTCCTCCCCGCCCGAAGGCAGAAAGTTCAACCGATCAGCCGGTCAGCCGGCCGCCCGACTTCGGACTGAACTCCCTGCGCAATATTTATTACGTATGTAATAGTCCATTATGTTATTATGGGTAAGGTCCCATAACAATCCACTTGCCTTTTAAAGTACAAACTTCCAATATAATCAACACTTCTTGTTTTACAAGACATGAAAAAACGATTGTCTGCTTCTCTTGTAGCCATGAGTACGATGCCTGGGTTTAAGGAGAACGGAGATATGCTACTCAATTGAGAGGCACGGAGACAATTATGTAGCGAATCAAAGTTTTCAAATTCCCTAAGAAAGATTAGGAATCGTTACGTCACTAGCTCCGTAGGCCGTTAAGATGTAAGGGATTCACATGTACTGCAACTATGGCAGCAGTGGTGTACCTTAGGCAAGTGAGCCTGTCGGAGACTATCCATCTTCATTCATTTTTCCTTTTTCTCGACTGGTTGCCATCTCAAGGCAAGACAGTTTAGACTGTCTTGCTATTTAATCCAAAGCTAGAGGAAAATGGAATCATGCCTTTTCCGAGGGCATTACTGCGATGTGAACGAAACAGAATCCATGGATTTAACTCGGTATGAGGATTGACATCCCGCTCCGATAATATCTACACCACATGCGCCTCCATATGTAGAGGAATGAAAACTAATAATTTCTGTGAATACCAAAAAGGGTTACGTTTGAGGTTTTCGCCATATTTTCAAGAATGTAACATACCCTAAAAGAAAAATGGAGTGCACATATATTGCGAAAATTACAATGAATTTAATCCGAGGGAGAGAATTAATGCACTGAACTGACAAAATTTTAGAGACACTTACCCAACAACTTGTATCTGCTTATTTCGCTTTAATTATGGCAGCTACGCGAGATGGTACGGAGCCTACAAGACACAAGTGTCATTGCGTATGCATACATACATACATACACACACACACACACACACACATATATATATATATATATATATATATATATGTATATAAAAAAAAAGGAAAAACAGTAAGATATAAAATCCGGTGTTCTTATAGATATTTTTATTTTTTACAAAATAGTGCTCAATGTAAATTTACAGAGCATTAATATTATAAATTAATTGATTTAAAATATGGTTATTTTTCGCTACACAGTTCCAACCATGTTTCAAAAAAATAGAAGCTAAAACCCCTAATTTAATTTTGCAATTAAATTAAAAGCATTAGTTCCATTTCATCTTCAAGCGACTGTGTAGCGAAAATAACCATATTTTAAATCAATTAATATATATATATATATATATATATATATATATATATATATATATATATATATATATATTCAATCGTTATTATAGCGGACACTTATATGACTCATTTTATTTTTACAGTGTTTATTGCGTCTATCAGCCTATGTATTGGAAAAATCGTAATAAAGACAATGTGTTCACCAGGAGAGATCGAACTTGCGTCCCTCTTTATAGGGCTAACCGCTGTTTACTCAGGCGTACTTTACTGATCGACCACAAAGAACGTCACAGTTAAGCCAAGGCTCTAATTTTTCTCGATCCCTGCCGAGGAGCACATTTTCTTGATTAAGAGTTTCTCGAATGCGCAGGCAGGTAATAGTCATTGTTTAAAATAAAAATGGGACGTCTATTTCATATACGAGTCTCCGTTATAATAGTATTTGAAACAATAAAAATGTCGGATTAAAAATAAATACATTATTTCTTTAGAAATATATTTCTACACATGCTAATTTTCTATAATCTGGTAAGTTCGGGGCTCGCAGACGTAGCTGGAGATTCGCCAAGTGAACCTGGGACCAGTTTCATGTCATCCCCTCACACGTGGGAGGGAGTGCGTTATCTTTTTAAAAAAATTATAAATACGCGAACTAGTGGTCCTTATTTAATCCAACTTGAATACAGAGTCACAACAATATTGCACAACACATGCTGTTAGTTTAGATCCATTGCCTTTGCTGTTTACACCACATGTTAACGCCTGAAATGGCCGGAAATGTGTCTCGTTTGACTAGATAACACGATAACAGATTTTCACGACTCAATGACAAGGTCCCACTGTCCCAGTCGAGTGACGGTAACTGATGCTGTGCTATCAGTAATGTTACGTTTAGTAGTAGATAATTAAGAAACATGTAAAGCAGGGTACACTTTTCAATGAGTTGACTGATGGGTTTAGCGGCACTAGCGTTGAATTGGGATGTCCTATTCTAGCATCAATTGTAGGCGCATGCAATTTTTACGTGACGCTGTAGTGTTCCGAAATCGCATATTTTTGGTCCTGTTCTTGTTCCTGTTTCCCAGTATTACCCGTATTCATTAAAGTGGTTTTTCCTGAGCTCAAATAACGATAAGTACGCAACTATCTCAGCCAAGTGTCAGGATAACAAAAAGCAGATTGTTATTTGATTTACTATAAATTACAGACCCCCCCCCCGCAACTCACCTTGCACAAAATATTAGAATCTGAACATACCGATCGAAATGACAAAACTATATTTTTTTCATAAATTTTGCCGTCGAATAACAGTAATTTTCCAAGCGTAGCTCAGATGGAGCATAAGGCCGAAGTTTGGGGCACACAGTGAGGATCGAACTCAGTAATTAGTCGTAATTGTTCTAACAAGAAAAGCTTGTTAACCATCACACCACCTTGAGGTGCCCTATTTTCTAAGCGTATCTTAGTTGTGGCACAAGGCCGAAATTATAGGCACCCAGTGAGAATCGAACTCACTATTCAGTCGAAATGGGACTAGCAAGACAAGCTTGTTAACCATTACATCACGTCGAAGCGCCCATGTCGTCGTAGAACGTATGAGAGACGTAGAAAGAAAAAAATGTAGGTACTCCTAGACGTGATAGTAAAAGAAAGAAACAAGAAAGGACTAATCATAAATTAGAAGAAAACAGTATGCATAGGTCAATAGCAAAAGGGACCCTACCAATATACGAGCTACTAACTGGAGATATCAAAATAAATCAAGTATAGAAATCTGAAAGCGCATTTGAATAGCGTAAGATCCCTTCCAAAAGCTAAGCAAAGTATTAAGAAATATGAAAATTTCGTTAAAAGAAAAAAGAATTTTGAACTGCTATCCTCTTATATTGCAAGGGATGCCTGACAATTTCCACACAGATGAAGAGATGATTGGAAGAACAGAGACGTGGTTCTACGAGAGGAGGATGCTGAGAATACCATCAATGGAACATATGGGCAACGAGGAAGTTTTATAGAAATAAATAAAAAAAAAAACATGAACACTTATACTTAGAATAAGAATGAAACAGCTGAAAATTTGGGAATATATGATGAGGAAAAAGGCTTGGCGAATTTGACACTCATATATCTAGGACAAACTGGACAGAGGGAAATGGATGTCAGAACTTGGAGGTAGAATAAGCGACAAATATTAAAAAGCTCTAAAAAGAATAGGAAGTTGTAGAGAGGCATGATTGCTCTCCTTTTGAAGGAACAGGGTATAGAGAGGAAGAAAAGTTTGTCATCAAACATTCTTTTTAGCATAACTAATGGAGAAGAATATATTTTCGAATTCAAACGACTGATTTTTTTTTCTTTAACATTGAATTACTGATCTCAGCGAAAGGAGAAGTATTTTGTTCACAGTGATTTGAAACCCGGTATGGAAAAACCTGGTTACGTAGTTATGAAAGGATTTTTATTAGCAATCGAGAAGGATTTCTGTCACTGTTTCAATGTGGATTTTATCATAAAAAATATGGCGCCTGTAACATACAAACCTATTGTGAACGAAGCGAAGTAGATGGAAAATCAATCATTGCAAGAAGAAATTATTTTTTTCTTTTGGGTTTCTTTTCTTTTTTTCATCTTGCTTATCTTTCTCTTCTTTTTGATTAATTTTCACGTCTCTTTTCTTCTTTTTCATTCCATTACTGATTCTTTCCCTTCTTGGCTATATTGTGATGCTCTAACTTATTTCTCTTCTCCTTCTTTTCCTTTCTCTTTTTTATATTCTTTTTTATTCCTTTCTTCTTCTTCTTCTTCTTCTTCTTCTTCTTCTTCTTCTTCTTCTTCTTGTCATTTTCAATTTTTTCTAATTCTCTACTTCATTCTGTTTCTGATTCTCTCTCTCTTCTTTACTCCAACAGACTTCCTTTCTTCTTCTTCCCACTCTCCCTGTTTTATAGTTTTCTTTCTTTCTTTCTTTCTTTTTTTCTTTCTTTCTTTTATTTATTTATGTTTTCCTTCTCGCCCATCGTCTTTAACTCTCCCTTCTCTACTTCATCCTGTTTCTGATTCTCTCTCTCTCTCTTCCTTACTCCAACAGATTCCTTTTCCTCTTCTTTCTTTCTTTCTTTCTTTCTTTCTTTCTTTCTTTCTTTCTTCTATTTATTTATGTTTTTCATTCTCGTTCCTCATCTTTAATTCTTCCTTCTCTACTTCATTTTGTTTCTGATTCTCTTCCTCTCTCTTTCTCTCTTCCTACTCCAACAGATTCCCTTTCCTTTCTTCTTTCTTTCTTTCTTTCTTTCTTCTTTCTTTCTTTCTTTCTTTCTTTTTTCTTTTCTTTATTTTTTTTTTATTTGTCTTTAACTCTTTTCTTCTTCTGTTTCTGATTCTCTCCCTCGTCTTTTTAACTTTTCTCCTTCTTCTACTTCATTCTGTTTCTACTTCATTCTGTTTCTGATTCTCTCTCTCTCTTCTTTACTCCAACAGATTCCCTTTTCTCTCTTCTTTCTTTCTTTCTTTCTTTCTTTCTTCTATTTATTTATGTTTTTCATTCTCGTTCCTCGTCTTTAATTCTCCCTTCTCTACTTCATTCTGTTTCTAATCTCGTTTCTCCTTTTCTTTTTACGGTTGTTATGTTTTGCCTTATTTCACTTTTCTTTTTTTCCCATTTCATGAATAATGATATTTCGACTGAGAAATGCACTTAACCTCTCAGAAATGATCTGCAGCTAACTTTCTGCTGATCGATACACAAATCCCATCAAGCTGTGTCACTTGAAATCACGTGCAGCCGCGGTGCATTGGAACGGCACTGCCATTATTGGGGAAATGATCAGCAAACGGGTGGCAGATCGATAAAGGAGAAGTAAGTAGTGCGTTCACTCACAGACATATAGATATTGGCTTCGATTAGCCTAGTCTGGCAAAAGGCTGGAGGGATATAGTCATTGCATGAAGACTGTGTTGCAGTTAGAAAGTGGGAGAGTGATTACCTTGTAAATCATTTTTTTAATTAATTTCTTTTTATCTTGCTTTGAACGTCAATCAGAGGCGCCAGAAAAAAATCTCAGATATTTATTATTCTAAAAAAAAAAAAATCTAATCGAATAAACGAAATGAAATCTACGAAAATGGTTTTGTTGCATCATTCTTCCAAAAGGCAAACTGTTTTTTTTTTTAAATAATCATTTGAAATCCTGACTTTTCAACTGGGCTGGAATACACAACTCTCTCACGTATGTGGCAAAGGCTAGACGTATGTTACCTGAGACCGGAAAAAAGGGCTATGCATGTCTTTGCGCGTGTGTGCATGTGTGTGTGTGTGTGTGTTGAGGAGAATTCATAGTAGCAAGAATTTGTGGCGCCACTTAGCTAAGGTGGGATGTAAAATATCTACAATTAAAATCCTTGATTTATGTGTATTTTCGAACGTTTACTGCTGATGTAAATAGGAAAGGCACAATGACCTCATCCACAAAGAACACACACACACACACACACACACACACACACACACACACACACACATATATATATATATATATATATATATATACACACGCACATACACATCTCCAAAGATTCGCTGAGAGACGAGCATACGTGATAAAAAAAATGTCCCAAACATAATAAAAACAAAGTTTCATCTTAAAATCTTTATCTTATTATTAAGAGGAAATACCGAAGAATTTTTTTATTATTAAATTATATTTTTGTTCTATTTTAGAACTTTTGAAATTTGAGTTAATCATTTTGTTTTTCTTGCGTCAACGGGTGACCATAAATTAGTACGGGAAATCTGTACATCTTTTAGCAAGGAAAAACACTTTGATTAAGAAATTTAAAAAAAAATCTGATAATTGTTAGATTTTAATGAAATATTCATCTTGGTAATCTTTTTTTTTTTTTTGCATCTATTGCCCCCCCCCCACATTTATGTAATTTTCTAGAATTTCTAGAAGTTCATTTTGTGCAGTTTAATTGTTATATTAATTATAAGGATAAGACGTTGGAGAATTTAAAGTCAATTTTTTTTGACAAACTGGACCCCAAGTAACAGAAAATCCGCTCTGAATTGTAAAATAAAAAGATGCAATAAAAATAAGATATTATTTAATTATAACAGCTTTTAATAGCTTTTATGAATAAAATATATTATGAACATTATTGACTTACGAAAAATTTTTTTCGGTGAATAATGGATTTTTACAAGAATTGTTTTCATGTTAAAAAAATTAATTATAATTTATAAAGTTTTAAATCTTTTAAAATTCTGTTTTAATTTATAGAGGTTAGGTGATTAAGTAAAAACTATATTTATTAATCATAAATGAAAAACCTTACTACACTTCAACGATCCTCAATATTATCAAAATAATTAAGAATTTTTTGTGGCTGTATAAACGTACCGATTTTTGTAAACATCCATACACGACATTATCAGAATATAAGAACCTTAACTATAGTAAATTTAAAATTTGTTAGTAATTTTCTAACATTTCCTCAATAGCGTCTTCGTAAATAAAACTATAAAGCCAAAGAACGTAAAATTCAATAAAATATTAGATTACTTTCAATATTTTCCTAAATTTTTAATAAAGTTGTCAAAATCTCCTAAACACAACCTCCTCCGCGTTAAAAAAAATGTTTTTCTGTGATATTTTAAACTAAAAGGAAGTAATCTTTGTTTTAATTCAGATTAATTCAACTTTAATCCAGTTAGTCTATCTCAAATAATATTTCAGAAAACACATATTTCATTTTTGAAAGATTTTTTAATAAAGAGAATTATGTTGTGTTGATAGATTTGTCAATATGGCCAATTTTAGTGATTTAAAAATCTTTCCAATCAATGTGAAATACAACAAAGGATTTTGCATATTGGAAAAATATTTAATGTATTATCGTTGAATTAGAATTGAAATAAAAGTTTCAAGATACTAAACCTTAGGTATCGATTTTATTGGCGGTACCTAATACACACACACACACACACACACACACATCTGTTTATATTTAGAAGATGAGGTATTATGTACGTTATTTGGACTATTGTCCTCATCTCTGTCGCCATATTTATTACAACGTTTCGGCCGTTGTACGCTCCGGCCTTCTTTAGGTGGTCGGAATCTCAAACTAAACCCTTTATTTCGCTCACTGGGGTAGACTGCTTAAGTTCCACGTGCCGTGTTTAATGGATGTCAGTTATCAGTTATCTCCTTGTTAATTTCCCTCTGAAAGTTCTCCATTGCCTTACCCGAATATTGAACTCACAAAATGTTGTAATAAATATGGCGACAAAGATGAGGACAATAGTCCGAATAATTTAAAATATATATATATATATATATATATATATATATATATATATATATATATATATATATAAAATGGATTAAATCTGACATATCATTAATTTATTTGTTTAAACGTTATTTTAAATGGATACTCATATTTGAGTAGATGCTCTGTTTTTATTTATTTATTAAACAGAATATTTATTTATTTACATCTACTGGCCTGAATATAGGAGAAATATGCGCCATCAGACAGGATTCGAACCAGCGTCTCCTAGGCCACTCAATCACGTAGGACCTCTTGATCAAACTATTTCTTTTGAGCACATTCAGACAGTTTATTCATAATTTCAACCAAGTTTCAGGCTGCGATTGTCGTCTAAATGATGCAAACATGAAAATGACCCTGACATCTCATTTTAACAAAAATATTTACTAAAATTGCATAATAATACCTTGAAATAAAGAATAAATATATTCAATAAAATCGCCATTGACTTCAGCCACGGCCTGCAGACGACTTCGGAATTTCCTGCAACTTTTCTGGATAGCAAGGATTATGGCAGCATTCACCAACTTGGTTAAGCTGGTGAATGCTGCCATAATCCTTGTCTTCAGTTCATCTTTGGTGTTACAAGTTTTGCTATCTTTGTCTCAAATGCACCCCACGCATAATAATCAAGGTGGTTGCAATCTTGGGAGTTAGATGCCCAGATATAAGGGATGATGTGGTGACAAAAATTGTCTGACAGCCATAAGTGGGTTTTCCTGCTTTTGTGACATAGGGTCTGCCAACAGCCATCCTTTTGACCCAGGGCAGCACTACCTCCTCAATGCATTTGATGTAGGCCTCAGTGTTGAGTCTAAGGCCTCTGTGGGAAGATGAATGGAGGCATAACATCACCATCACTAGTGATCACTCCAAACACCATGATATTGACTGGATATATCATCCAATATTTTCCGAATCCTCTGCACTTTCCTCAGATTGACACCTAAACACTCTGAAATGTTCCTATTGGAGCTTCTGGCACAAATACCAAGCAGTACAGCATGCCATTTCCAAATTTCTGGCTGAGCGAATTGCGTTATGGTGGTCTTTTTCTCATAGACGTTGACCCACTGACCGTATTGTACTGCGCAGTCGACAGAAACAAAAACAAAGACCACTTATACGCGAAATCAAAAGTATAGAATAGCGACAATCTATCCATGGCACCCTATATATATATATATATATATATATATATATATATATATATAAATGCATGTTTCATTAAATAATATAGACAAGTTTTGTTTATTTATTTTAAGTTCCTTTCATATTTTTGATAAGATAAATAACATTATCATTGAAAGACGAAAGGAAATCACCATATTGATACATATTTAAATCCAATCCAAGCTTTCGGCTTACATAAGCCATTATCAAAGATGACAATTACTTTTCAATATATCAAACAATACACGGACAAAACAATAATGATAGTCTGTTTTTGTTGCATAAAAAATTTAAAAGTGAAGGCGGTTTATCTTGCCATCGTTTCTGTATCTGGTCGGTTGCATTTGGTTTCTTCTTCTTCTTCTTCTTCTTCTTCTTCTTCTTCTTCTTCTTCTCATTATTATTATTATTATTATTATTATTATTATTATTATTATACCTTTGCCTTGTGTAATATGAGTAGACCCTCAAGTCTCAACCGGACACTTCAAGAGACAAGTTTTTTGTATCAAAATATGCATAAAGACGATAAGACTTTATACAAGATGTGAGAAGTACCCATGTATATGATTTTTTGCAATTCATATATTTTAGGTCTGCCAGGAATTTGTTGCAAATGTTTTTTGCTCGTTTTGATATAATTCCCAAAGTCCCCAACAATAAGAGGTTTTCTCGAAATGTCTCATTTTTACCGATTTCACAGCTCGAGCTCATTGTATTTTCTTAGTGTTTCAAACGTTTTTCATAGAATGTGTTTTTGTCGATAATATTTTTCAGTAGACAGGTCTTTTCAACATAATTTTCCCCGATTATATATGATCGATTTGCTTGGATTTATCCATCAGTTTAAACACTGAAATTCTAACTCATATTACATAAAGCAGAGGTATAATAATAATAATAATAATAATAAAGATAATAATGAGTGAGAAAGTTTTTTTGTATTTCTTTAAGGCATAGGCTACCAGGAGTCCCTTCAATGAGTCTGTTGGAACCTTTTCCAATCAATCCAAAAGCCTCCAACTACAACAGTGATTGTTGATATTCTCATG